TTTTCCGCCTACGTATTGTGCACAGAAGACCTTGCTGGTAATTCAGACTTCAATCCACAGACTTTCAAGCCCCGTTTGACTAGCTGTCAACACATAATGCAACGAACCGCTGCACTTTAGTTGATTCTCTTAAGAAGCGTCCTGGTGAGTTGTATTTTATAAAACTATTGGACAAAGGCCTTAGTTTGTCAGCGTGTTTCGCGATGTATGAGATTTTCACCCTGAAAAGGGGCAAATGGGCTTATTGTTTCTACTGTAGTCAATTCCACTGAGTGACTCATTTTTTTTTTTTTTTTTTTTTTTTTTTTAATATATCAACGGTGATACTAATTTACATTGCCAATGGATAACCAAAGACCTACCATTCAAGTCGCTTAACGCTCGTTTTTTCAGCAAAATGGTGGAAGATAATTTTCATATCTAACCCCAACAGACCAGTCCCAAACAAAAATACATGCTATATGAAGGCAGTATTCGTATAAGAAGAAATGGATTGAAAAGAACTGAAACATTCTTTTTTTAAAAGCTTAGACCAGAATTGATTATGTTTGTTTATCTTTTTTCTAGAGGAGCATCGAAAAAAGATTCCGATAAGGCGACTTCTCTTCCACACAACGGGATTGATATTATAGGGCAGACTTTTCGAGTGTTCTTGCTGTATTGCAAGATTGGTGTTGCATATAAACCCCATAGGCTCGTTACTGGAAGAACTCTGATCCCCTCCCAGTAAAAAAAATGTTTCATGAAAAGTACTATATTCAGATAAATGAGAAATGGATCTAAGCACCATAAGTTAAAATAAAATCGTGAGATTAAAGTACTTCTGTTATCGCAAGAGACAGCTCTAATGGAATTAATTCTATCGAGAGTTTTCGTCATGAACTTCAAGTGAATGAAAACGCCCTCTGGTTAATCTTTCAAAAGTTATGCCTAGAGTGGGCTCAAACGCGTCAAAATGTAATACCTTTCATCACTAAATGTCAGCAGAGCTGGGGAAACTGAGTTGGAAATGACACCGCACTTTCGTGACATTAAAAGAACACATGTTTTAAGGCCAACTTTTGTATGAAGATGCGCGAGTTCATAAAAATTGACGCTGAATTTGTACTAGTTAAAATTTCATATACTGTAATGTAAAAGGGTAAACCATTGATTCTTCATGTTAGATATTTTAAATATTCATTGCATAATACGTCAGAGGCCTAAAAGTAAAAGATTTCATTTTTTCAGTTGCATGAAAAACTATGAATATTGCAATGGAATTAGATTCCTTCTATGACAGTTCGTGAGTTGATCCCAAGAAATTCGATGAACGGGGTAACATTCTAAATAAACCGCGGTGCTACCTCGGTGGGAGAGTATAACAAGGTAATTTGGTATTATCAGCTAAGTTGATTAACTAATAAATCCTGCATGCGCACCGTAAGAAATGATATTGGCGGGGTCTTGTCAAGCACAGCTTCTGCACAATGACGTACTTAAAATTTCTAAAACTTTTATTTATCTCCTCGTAGCTTAGTCGCCACGTAATCTTAGCCCTGGCAATCAAGCACTACCACTAAGTTGAATTCTTTGAGCATCGGAGCAAACTTAATTTGGGAGTCCCAGTCTGTTCATGTTCTTTGGAAAGGCTATAACAATAACAGCCAAAGTTCCTCATATAGCAATTAGAAAATGCGATTCAGATAAGTTTTTTTTGAAAACTTTGCAGAATAAAAGTTCTTTAAATTTTTGTTTTGCTTTTTCTTTCTTTCTTTGGGTGGCATTGTGATATGAAGATGATATGAAGATGATATGAAGATGATATGAAGATGATATGAAGATGATATGAAGATGATATGAAGATGATATGAAGATGGTATGAAGATGATATGAAGATGATATGAAGATGATATGAAGATGATATGAAGATGATATGAAGATGATATGAAGATGATATGAAGATGATATGAAGATGATATGAAGATGATATGAAGATGATATGAAGATGATATGAAGATGATATGAAGATGATATGAAGATGATATGAAGATGATATGAAGATGATATGAAGATGATATGAAATGATATGATGATATGAAGATGATATGAAGATGATATGAAATGATATGATGATATGAAGATGATATGAAGATGATATGAAGAGATATGAAGATGATATGAAGATGATATGAAGATGATATGAAGATGATATGAAGATGATATGAAGATGATATGAAGATGATATGAAGATGATATGAAGATGATATGAAGATGATATGAAGATGATATGAAGAACTGCAAAATCAGGTCAATTGTTAAGAGAAGAAATTCAGTTGCGAGAACTTCAGTAGGGCGGATATTGCGAAAGATCAGAAATAAGATAGACAATCGGAAACTCGGATGCCGACGGTTAAGACAAAAATGTCTGCATACCCGCCTCAATGACTCATAGTGAAAAAAATTAAACATAGTGTGCGCGCTCTCGTTGGCCGATAGGTGAGTTGCAATTGAGACGCCATGCTTTCTTCATTTGTCGTATCATATTTGAGTCGTGAAAGAAAAGACAGGAAACTGTCAACAACCAAGTGCGTAAGGGCACTCGCAGAGAGTCCGTGTGAGAAAACAAAAAAATAGAGAAAACAAAAACAAAGCAGAAAACAAATCACAAGGATTAAAATTGAACGTTTTCATTTACATCACTATTGTGCAATAGCATCACATTTCGACATTCCTATCCTAGCAGCACAGAGGAGGTTTGTCGCCATGGACCTAATTAAACAACTCAGCCTGTTACTAGTTTCCAGAAAATCGGAAGTATTTTTCGGAAGGTCATAGGTTCGACTCGGAGTTCTTTTTCCATTAATGCCTGTGTCAATCAATGAAGAACATCATCTTAAAAATACAAAAACAAAAACAAAAACCAAATTGCCTGAAGCTTGAGAAACCGCAGATAACCTTCTCGGGCATCTATGAGTCGAGTCTTATAACTAACGCATGTGCATTTTACTATTAGCAAGCATTTTCGCCGAGAACTTGCCTCCGAGGCTACCGAGGTAGGCTGATGGCAAAATATCAGATCTTATTATTCGCAAATCTTATTATTCGTCATCTAAATCTTTTTTTTTTCTAATTTCACATTCATTGAGTTCATCTCACTTAACTTTATCCCACTCTATCCTCTCCATCCCGCTCTTGCCTAAGCTAATCTTGATATTATTCGCGCGTTAAGGACTCGAAATCGTAATGACGGAAGATTGGAGTTGCTCACGGTCCACTTTCTAATACTCGATAGATTCTTTAATGCAGTGATAGCCGTGTATCCCCTTTACCGGCGTTTTACTCTCAAGATCTTATCAGAAATTCTCCTTACTGGCTGCCATTCAATCATTATGGTGTTATTTTGGGGAATTTTTTATTGGATCCTGCTATAAATAACTCCCTTATTTATGTTTCTCGATATTCTCAACACTTGTCTGCTCGATATTGTGTTGATGCTGTGAGAAGAAGTTCTGCCTTGAAGCGACTTGAAGGTGGCAGCAACCCGTTTACGTAATGGATCATAAATTCAAGGACTTTATTCTGGCAGCAATTCAACCTGCAAAGGCGATCCGACCGATAGGTTAAATCCAATAAACATGACAATTAAAATTTATCGAAGATTACTTAAACTGTCTCAATTTCTCTCAATACGAAAGAGGCTAGTCCATAAAAAGCGAAAACGTAGTGTTTCTGCGCATTTATAAACTAAACTATTGGCTTTGTATTTTAGAGATTTTAAATTGAGAGGGAAACGAATAAAAAACATTACCTTAGTGTCTCGGACTTTTCCTTCACAGACTGATAGCTAAGTAGCTTAATGATCAGTCGCCATGCAGTTTCATCAGATGTTAGAACAGTGCACAGACAAATAAGGTCCAAAGTAAGTTCGTTTCCTGGTCATACCGCGACCGAAATCAAATGTTAATCCTTCTTTATCCAGGGTTTCACTGATAATTCGTAGAGATTACAAATAGCGTTTTTCGTTCGTATCTATCCTAGTTTGGGACACATATGTTTCTTCTTTTGTAATGTTTTGTTTTGGTTTGGTTTTATTTGTATCAACAAGATATGCAATATAAAGTACTTGTGAAGTTGTTTACTAATTTGTGATAAGATTAGGTTCCCAACTTACACCTCCAAACCTTTACAGTCTTAAATGCTTGTGATCGTGCGCAAGAAGCTTCACTGGCAAATATGGAAATGAATAACCATTGTAAGCTTAGAAATCCTCTAGTATAATAGGTTTGCAACCTATTGGGTTACCATTGCAACACTTTCGCATAGCTATAGACGTAAATGCATAAATAATGAACAACAGTCTTTATTTCTCCACTCGTTAAAACTCACATGTCTTAAGTTACATATTTTGATTTAATCTTAAATCGTTTTATTTATAGCTCTAAGAAGACGAAGCTTTAAAAATCATCATAAAACGCAAAAACTGTAAAATTAAGTAAAAACATAAAATATTATGAGCTCCAGCCAGTAGCTTAGAACGTTCCATAGGTATAAATCTTTCTGAATTAATCTCGATGTGATGAAAATATTCTTTTCTAAAATCGCAGTTGATCAACTATATATGGTTAAGTCTATGATTTCGTCATTTCTTCTAATCTGTATATTCTAAGCATTTTAAAATCTAGAATTAAATGGCTTTGAAAAAAATACACGTCGTATATCTTGTCATGGAAATTACTTCTTAACGTTTCAAAATAGCATCGATTGGTCCGGATAAATTTCTTTGTCGGATATTAGAAAACTGAATTCACAGATATTTTGGTTTAATTTCGACAGCAAGCGAACTGATTTTTTTAATCATAGCGTTTTCAAATCAACAATGAATAGTAGGTAAAAAAGGATCAACATCACCATGCATGCAAAGGCCACTCGATCATTAATCTGCCAACCACAATTGTATTAAAAGCGAATTTGACCGTTCTGAAGACGCAGAAATCACTATTTTTATGAACACTTTACCGTCAGAAAGTTTTAAAAAAATCCGCTGGTCTAATTTTCATTTCAGTTGATGTGGGGGCGCTGCCCTCGGGACTGTTTTGATCCAATTGATCCCAATGGATATTGGCCAAGGTTTTATTTCGACAATGCGGATAAATTCCGTTGAGATTCGACCAAACAGCACAATCACTACTGCTGCCATACCACCAACCTCCGCCTCTTTTTAGAGTACAATTAGCAGCATCTCTATCCCAGGTACCAAAAATGAAATCTTTGTGAGGATTGAGGGAATCAGAGGAAACAGTTGCATCTGCTTAAAAAAAAAGAAAATTCCATAATATTAGGATCATGATAACACTTTTGACACCTCAAACTCGATAACTACTATTATCGAAATACAAAAATATCGGGCAAAATTATGAATACTAAAATTTTATGATTTTGCTAAAGCCGAGTTCAATGACTCTTCTATTTCAAGCAATCTCGAGAGCAAACTGACCACGGAGGAGCGTGGACTCAACTAGGTATAGGCAAGATGAACAGCAAAACACAGTCAAGCGGGTATACGCTAAAACAAACCATTATTTGCAGGTTACGTGAAGTTGGGGGAAGGGATTGAATTAAAAATCAGTTTTCATTAGGATTCAAGTTTTCACTGACTTGTATTTTCATTTTACTAAATTTGAAGCGGACAAACAACAGTTTAAGAAGCCTCTCTGAAGAAGCCAATAACCTAACCCTAAGCAAAACCCCTTAAGCTTTGGTATGAATGGGGCAGTAGACGTCGATAAGGAAGTAATACATAAAGATCAAACGATGAATGTGTAAAAAGACTGTTTACTTACTTGTCATATTGCCAATGTACAGCCGATAGTCAGCCGTCCCGTTTCCAATCCCAAACCATTCATACTCAGCGTGAACAGTTTGGCGCGTAGTCACCCCCAGATCTACTCGAAGCATGTTCTTCGTCTTATTTTGTGTCAGACGGTTTATCTTGTCCAGTCCGAGCCAAAATTCACCGACCAAGTTACCGAAGCCATGCTTGTAGTCATTCCAGGTGCGATTAAAATCAACGGAGCCATCCATTCTCTTCTGGAAGACTGTCCATCCCCCACCGGAAGTAGTGTGGTCACAATAGACATTAAAGGCACCTGAGCCATCTGGGTCGATTGTGTAAACACCGCTGATCCTTTGACCGGAATGGTAGAGCTCAGCACAGTTCTTAGCTGTCGATAAAGTACAAGGGAATAACAGTTGATATTCTCTTGAAAAATAACAATAAAAATTGAAATGAATAAATAATAGTAAAGGTAGTAACACACATAAACGAAGAGGAAATGTGCTTACGTCTCGCCAATGTTTTGTTCTCCATGAGAATTTTAATCTCAAATCGAACTTGGGTGACTTCCTTCATTATTTCTTCCAAACAGACGGCAGTGTTCTTTTGGCAATCTATCGGGAATGCCCGCGTTGATGGTAGAATTTGATAAGTCACAGAAAGTGCCAGAAAAACCAGAGCAGATCCTGAAAGAAAGAAATCACATCATGTCCCTTCCCTAACCAAAAACAACGACTTACGGTCTGCACTCTTTTTCATACTTAGCTAGCAAAATATGGAACTCTCTCCCAGACACTTACAAAACATTAAATTTTCTAGAATTCAAGCAGGAGATCCTCAGATATGAAGCTTTTCCACAGTAGATCTACAAGTTATATTCCCTCTGCATGCATAATGTTGTTTATTGTTTATAAATAATATTGGAATTGTAAGATAGCATATTTTTATTTTATTTTAGCTTATTTTCTCGAAGATATTAGCTGTACAGCTACACTGTGAATTTCGAGCGTCAATAAAGTATATGTATGTATGTATGTATGTATGTAGGAATCCTTTTGCTGTTGCTTCTTACTTCCTGAAATCATCACTTGAAATTCGCTCGGTAATATATTAAAAAAACAACAACAACAACAACAACAACAACGCGAGTAATACATGTATATATAAATTCTTTCATCACATAAAAAAGTTTTAGGACATGATAGTATCTTAGGGACGGACCGTTAGATTTTTGAAAAACATCGTGCAATTGGCAAAAGTCCCTTCGCCCCCCCTCCTGCATCAAAAATCTAATGGTCCGTTTACATGCGAGACAATTTAGCTGGTAAAAACAAGTATTTACGTCTTTTTTTGTATTTTTCTATGCTTCCCTCGCTCCCAAAGAGGATTCGTACAGATATGAGTGTCGTACCGCGTTTACATTATACAGTTACAAAAGGTTGTCCGGAATAAGTGTTTCTTCTGGAATTAAAATCTCAGTAAACTCATTCAGAAATGATTCGTTTTGAATAATTTTACTCTGGTCTCATGCGGTAACCAGGACGAACTTGTTCTTGAACAAAACTTATTCCGATATCATGTAAAAGGCCCCTAAGAGTTTTTATTCCTATAGCTTCAGGCAGAATACTGTGAATTCCAATAGCGCTGAAGCAACAACCCGTTTTTAACTGCTACGCTGCCACTGAAACATCGATTAGAGACCACTAAAAGCACATATTCTGATATTGTCAATTCAACATAAACAATAAATCTACAAACAGGATAAATATTCATTTGTGTTGGTAGTAATTATATTAATTATTGCATGACTAGCTTATAATATAAATAAGGTAGGGGAAAACACTACGTAAAACCTGGGCTCCTGGCAAAAAGTAATAACCAAGGGTAGTATAATAATCGAAATAGCTTATCATTAAAAAAAACAAGGTAAGAGTGTTGTGTTAGATTTACGCAAATAAACGGTGGCGACTAGTAGGCGCACCATGTATATTTCATAGTCGCTAGCAGTTAAATTTTTCCGGACTTTGAGTCCGTCTCACGATGGAACAACACAAATACACAAAGAAAATTTTTACAGTAACTTTATAACCATCCTTTTATCTTTTAAAAGCTAGAAGCTCAGTAGATTCTGTCACGTCGGTCATTGTTAAAACTGTCTTTGTTTTGACGCTACTTTTCGACATAGAGGAAGTATGTCGGACAGAAATATTCACCAAAAAATACATGTTTCATTGCCAGCTTCAATAATGACAGGGACTTAAGTTTAGATGATAAAACAAAGGATTATGTTGACAGAAATAACGGAGGTTAAGTAAATTCGTTACATGAGGTCACCCAACTCGGGTAAGGTGAAAATTTGCATATTTTAGCGGTCGAAGGAAAACAATCATTTCTCGAAAACTAAAATATATTTTTACAAAAAAACTACACCACAATTATTCGGACATATTGGGTTACAAAATATGAAGGTAGGAGTGTAAGAAAATTTTGGGTGACTTGCCGTTGCACGTTTGTCTCATGTATGTTGACATTAGCTCTTAAGAGATTAAGAGGTTGCACGTCACTGTTTTGACGTCGTCTCCGATCTTTCGCAAGACTTGACTAAAAATCTCACGTAACAAATAGTAAGTCATTTGGGAAAATTTGCCAATTTTTATTTTGTCTTTAGCCATCATAATTCCTCCGAGCCCGAGGAAAAAAAATAAAAAGAGAAAAGAACTTCATCGCTTTGCCCGCCCTGATAAACGTGAGCTGGATGATATCGTCGAGGGAACTCAGCTGAACTGTCTCAAGTTTGCGGAACCTTTTTTATTCTTCTCCTTTAACTCTTCTAGAATTAGGTTGCGGCTATGTAAACACTGATGGAATTTTTTATTGCCTAATTGTCCAGAAAAAGGCCTTATATGTTTCACGATCTCAGAAGCTTTTCTTTGTAAAATTATCCACCGGCAATCGTATCGAGAAGAATATCCATCCATTCAAGCTAAGAAATGGAAAGTGTTCTGCTATGTACGAATAACGCATGCATCTTCCACTGTATGACTAAAACTTGATTTATTTGCACACGTGCCCCTCTCCAATTTCACCATATATCAGGTTATTATCCGGTGATGTGAAAACACAGTCACTGCGGGTGATTGCTTAACAAATTCAGTTAGGTTGCTGAATACGAAATTAAAAGTAACAGATGATTTACAATAGGTTATTTGTCTTGACCTTGGCGCCATAAAACTGATAGGGTTTCTACGATGTCTTCCGTTGAATTGTTCTTAAGGGAAACTTACACCTCGGCTTTTTTATTTTTATCTATGATATACGACATGGCATAATCGTGTAATGGTGCAGAGGAGTATAAAATGAATTTAATTGCGATGATAGTCAGAACACAGTGACATCATCAGTCAATCATCAATTAACGCGATCGATTGGTAGATATATCGAACAATTTTTGAGGTCGGATATTTCCATATCCGACATAAAGATATAACAAGTTCTCGTCGCAAGTAATTTTATAACAGAGCTAGTAAACACGTGTAATCAAATTCAAATGCGCGAGCATGCGTTATAATCCTATTTTGCACGTTTCTAACGTTAGCCATCAAATGCCTTTTCCATTTTCCTCCGCGACTTATTGCAAAGTTCTCGTCCAGCTTAGTTGCGAATTTTTAGCTTTCCGAGATGCATTTTCCCTTTCCATACTGATTAAGAAATACCTTTATGAACTCTAAATGATAAACATATTTATGGAAGAAAATGTACAATTTAAGAAAGTGCATCATCATACAATCCGCCATGAATTACAACTTAAGAAGCCGATATGTATTTCCTCTTAAAAGCATGGCCCAACGATTTTCTAAAGAAATTTCCCATGCAGTATGGTCAAAGTTTACGGCTGAACTAAACAGGCTAAGTGGACAACACAAAGCAGTTGTTTGAAAAAGCCTGAATTGTACTCAAGCGCATGCGAATTCAACAGCAGTCCTTTCAGAGTTAAAAAAATAAATAAATAAATAAAAATAAAAAGGAATCTGGTTTATTTCACAAATCGCAAACGTGTTGTCGTTTTTAACAGTGAGAGCTTTCGCTCTGAATTCGAAGTCGTGTCACATTTATCCTTACTTACTGAATGAACTCTCATGGAATGTGAGAGCGAATTGAGATGTTTGGTTAAGTTGTTACTGGCAGCTGACTTTTACCTTCAAAACTTCAGCTAATAATGACTATGACTGTGATGAAAAAGCCGAAAAACGAGAAACCGAATTGATACCACTGCTAGCCTGTTCTAAGCCATATCACCGATTTCAGTCTCTGCGGGTCAAAAGACGAAGTTGACCTAATATATTTATATAGTTAAGTATACTTATATAGTTAGGTGTACTTATATAGTTAAGTGTACTAACGAAGAGGCCAACTCTTGACTGTTCTGAACGAGTTTAATGCACGACGTTTCGGCTGTTCGGCCTTCTTCAGATTAAAAAAAAAAAAAACATATATATATATATATATATATATATATATATATATATATATATATATTTATTGTGGAAGGAAAAAGACAAATAAACTACAAGTTCATCCCTACAGACCTGTTTCGTGGTTACCCACTCATCAGGGGATTTAATGAGAATAATCTTTATCATCGCTTACGTAGAATTTAATTTAATTTTTGCAGCGCGAAATTTAACAGTTTAGTTGTTGCGTAGGTGGGCTTTGTTTCTGTGGCGGCAGGAAGACACGAGTTCATTACATTTGTTTAGTGTTGATAGTTCGGGTCGGCAGATGATTGGGAATTTTAAATTTGTAAACTTGTAGTTTATTTGTCTTTTTCCTCCCACAATATATACATCGCTCTACTCCGATGTATTGAGTACTGTTTTACGAGTCAAAATTTTACGCTTTATATATATATTTGCCCTCCAAGAGACTTACATTCACCGAACTTATGTCCATATCATCGCACAAAACTTATCATCTTTATCAAACATTCGAAATAATATTTTGTATGGCCAGACCAGCTTTCTGCTGGTTTTGATCGGATCCAAATTTTAAACTGAATTTACATTACTGTTCAGATGTTGATGAAATAGCGCAATTTCTCCTGTTTCGAAACATGATAGTTTCACAGCGCGTGGTGAATGAACTACAGTATCTATATTGCCACATGTAAAGATCAATAACTGTCATCGTAATGATTTTACTTTTCACAAAGGGGTTAATTTCATTGAACAATGTGAGTTCAACTTTATTTTGAGAGGGAAACATTTGTATGATGGAAACTCGTCTATTGCTTTTTAGAATAAATTAAAATTACTCGGGAATTGGTTTAAAACATAGATTACAATCGATTGCTTCAACAATGGTGCTCGAAGGTTTCCGTAGGGTCAACTAAAATGGACTTTAACCTTTCTGGTTGAAGTACGTGTAGCAAGTATTAGTTCAAGAACATAAAGATGAGAAAGAAATCTTCACGAACAGTAGTAGGTTTGGATTTAGTGTCGGTTTTGTCAATCGAGTCTGTGTTGTGTGAAAACAGGTTTTTTGCCTTCACAAATAAACGGACAGACATTTTCCGCCTACGCATTGTGCATTTAAGTTCTTGCTGGTAACCCAGACTTCAATCCAACGACTTTCTATGCCTCGTTTGACCAGTTGTAAACACATGATGCAACGAATCTTTCCACTCTTGTTGATTCCCTTAAAAAGCGTCCTTCTGGGTGGTATTTTAGAAAACTTATAGACAAAGGCTTTAGTTTGTCAGCGTGTTACCCGATGCATGAGATTCTCACCCTGAGAAAGAGCAACCTGGACTTATCGTTTCTTCTGTGGTTAATTTCACTTAGAGACTCGTTTTTTTTAAAGACAGATCAACGGCAATACTAATTTCATGGCCAATGGGTGACCAAAGACCTTCCATTTAAGGTGCTTAACGCTCGCTTTTTCAGCGGAAATGGTGGAAGAAAATTCTCATATGTAACCTCAACAAACCACTCCCAAACAAAAATAAATGCTTTATCAAGGCAGTGTTCTTTTGAATAAAGATAGATTTAAATGACTGAAACATTCTTTTTGAAAATCTTAGATCCGAACTGATTATATTTGTTGGTATATTTTTCAATTTACTTAACCCTTGATCAAGGCAGAAGCGAATTTAGAACTGAAATATTTCCAATTACAAGATTGCACAAGCCGAACGAGTTTGGAAATTGAATTGCACGGTTATAGGGTATCACCAACGTGAAAGTTCGACCAGCATCGAAATAAATTCCGAAACGTTTGAACGCGACTTCTTTTCCATGCAACGCCATTGATCATTTACACTAGGCTTTTCGAGAGTTTTTTTTGTATTGCAAGATGAGTGTTGGATATAAACCACTTGGGGTAGTTGTTGGTAGAACTCTGATCCCCTTCAAGTAAAAAAAATTGTTTTATGAAAAGTCGTATATTCGGATAAGTAAGAGCTGGATCTAAGCACCATAAGTTTCTAGCTTCTCATCACTTACCTATTCCTTGTTGAATGCCTCTCATGATAATTCTATAGGTGATGCACCACGCTGCCTAAACGTAATATTTAAAGAGAAATTGAGAACTTTACCGAGGATATGGTAGCAAGGTTTCATAAAGACTAAAGACTATCTGCAACTGAGTTATTAGTTACCTGAGTGCATGCGCATATGTTTTATGCACAGAAATCGTGATAGGGTAAAGAACCTCTGTTCTCGCTGAGACAGCTCCAATGGAATTGATTACATCGAGAATCGTCATCAAGAACTTCAAGTGAATGAAAACGCCCACTGAGGTCTCTATCTGCCCACTGAGTTTTAAATTACCTGAGTGTATGCGTATATGTTTTATGCACAGAAATCGTAATTGGATAAAGTACTTCTGTTATCGCTGAGACAGCTCTAATGGAATTAATTATATCGAGAATTTTGGTCAAGTTGGAAATGACACCGACATGTTTTATGGGCCAACTTTTGTCTGAGGAGGCGCGAGTTCATAAGAATTGTACTAGTTAATATTCCATATACCGGATTGTAAAGTGGTAAACCATGATTCTTGTTCGATATGTTAGAGTCATTGCATAAGCTATGAATATTACAATGGAATTAGATTCCTTCTATTACGGTACGTGATTTGAAATGGGAAGGAGCGATATCACCGTCACATCGATTTCAGTGGATCCCAATAAATCCTATAAACGGGGTAACTTTCTAAGAAACTGCGTTTGTCGGAGAGTATCGGAAGGTAATTTGGTATCATCATCTAAGTTGATTACCTAGAAAATCCTGTTTGTCATCATCTCTCATAGAAACTTTAATGGCAGCACCACCCCAAGGTGGTTCTACAGTTTGAATTGCAAAAGTTTAATTATGATCCACCGTTTGACCGTTGGTTGTTAAACGGCAAAAAAAAAAAAAGAAGATTGAAAATGCCATTAGGCGCAATAGTCGACTAATCGTAACAGTAAGTCGTAAAAAAAAAGTTTTTGCGGCCTGTCTACGGTGTCTCATTTGGAAAGTTTCAAATCTTAGAATGTCATTTGTCTTGCCTTGTGGCCGATGCGGTTACGACACCGAGAACAAAGATATTTGGCTCTGGTCCCAAAGAGCCCAACTCCCCCTACGGGGAGTTCTGTACAGAGGATGAGTTGACAAACAGTTAATAGTTTTAGAATTTATTTAATTTCAACCTCGTTCTGTTACATGCGACCATATTTTGCCAGTCGCCAGCCCAAACAACAAAATGTTTTGATTGCGCACGTGTTCTCCTCAAATGACGTAGCTGACTGTAATTTTATTCGGCGTAATGAAAACAAGACCACAGATTCGTTTACATCATTTAATTAACTCGTAAGAAAGTGCGATAAAAACAGTCATTCAAAACGCTATACATTCTGTAAATTACTTAAACAGCGTGTCTCCACGTATTCGCCATGAAGCAAATGCTGTAAGCTCTTTGATGATATCTTTGGTTTTAGAGAGATGTCCTCCGTCGATTTGTTTTGAAAGAAACCTTATGCCTTTTCCCTCAATTATTAATTAGCTTTGATATAGCGAGAGTGGATATCTTGTGACGATATGTCATGGCTTACTCAGATTCTTATGGAGCAGCGTATAAAATGAGTTTGACTTCATTTATTGTCAGACGGCCAAGCAGTCGCATCATCAATCACTCACTAACTCACCCACTCACCCACTCACCCACTCACCCACTCACCCACTCGCCCACTCATCCCCTCACTTACACATAAACATCACATTTGTGACCTTTTAGGGAAATTGGCCGGCGGATTTCTGTCCGTATTATAGGAAATACAATAATTACTCGTTAATATTATTTTTCTGATACGATACTGCTGCAAGCAAACGAGATATACCTGTCTTACACAGCATTTTGACCCAAAAAAATATTAGGTATATATTTTATTCACATTATTAGGTTCCATTTCTCATTCAGAGCTGAGGTTGACCTCAAATGCTACCTTTAGTTTTGAATGGATACGTTTTTGGTTTTATTATTTTATCAGACGATAACATGTCGATGTCTTCTCTGTTCGGAAGTTTCGACAAGTTCATTATTAGCTGATGTTTAATCAAACACAGTCTGCAGACTTTGGATACAAAAATTACTGTATATTTACCCAATGGTGAAGTGGCTGAATTCTACTTCTGTTCTAAAAATAAAAACAAATAAACCATCCAAAGTCAAAACAAAAGAAAAAAACAAGACAAAACAAAATAAAAATCATCTGTTTTTAAGCCAATCTTAGAATGTCATTTGTCTTGCCTTGTGGCCGATGCGGTTACGACAAGAACAAAGATACTCTGGTCCCAAAGAGCCCAACTCCCCCTACGGGGAGTTCTGTACAGAGGATGAGTTGACAAACAGTTAATAGTTTTAGAATTTATTTCATTTCAACCCTGTTCTGTTACATGACCAAAGACAAAACTTGTGGTATTTTATTGAAATCCATTATTCAGTGACATTAAAAAACTGTGAAGATTTCAGCTGACCGTTGAAAGGGTCGTTTGGACTTTGGCCAAACGCGTGAAAAAATGCATCAGGACTATGTTAAAATGTTTGTTTTGATCGCAATAGTTTCCACGGGAGTCAGAGTATTTGCTAATCCAGGCAGAAATATTTGCAGCGGATACCAGGTAAAGGAAAAAAAGAGGAACAGCCCGTTTTCTCAGCTGGCATAAAGGTGTTAAGCCACTTAAGTTCCTAAGCAAAGATATTTATCGGATAAATATTTCGTTGAATTAGAAACATCGCGAAAGTAAGGAAAAATAGGTCTACTCTGTGAATAACTTGAAAATATCGTCAAATTACGTGGGCGGAGCTTTGAACATCACCATTAAGATACCTACGCTCGTGCATTTGTTTCATAATTTAGAAAATTAACATGATTTTTAGGAACCCTCTAAATCCCTACGATTTATATTTGATACTCTCAGGATGCTTGAAAGAACTTATTATTGAAAATTCTGCAAAAAAAATCTGACCGCAAGGCATTTATGCCATTGAAGTCCGCACTTGGACCGAGGAGGTCGCCGTGGCGTATTGTGTAATGATTACTGCAATGTGATTTGGATTGAGCTATTCAATATAATACTATCACGCAGAAAAATTGCTGACGTGTGTCTCTCTTTAACTTTGTTGGCGATGCACACAAAAAAATCTGGCATGTCATTAAAATAAATTTGTCATAAAGAGTTTAGCTAGTGGATAATTCGTTCTTCACTTTGTTAATCAGTTGAGTATGATTTAATCTTTGGTTTATATTGAGAATACATTTTATGTATGAATTCGAATTCCGACGTTATTTAGTTTTAAGCCGACGGGGTGAGTTTCCGACTTGTGACAGCCTCGTCTAACTTCTTTAGGTGGACGTGCTTACTTTGTGTATTGACCTTGCTTTAGACCCACACGAAAGTTCATGTTTTGGCTGACGCAGTCAGAGGTTGATTCTGTTGAACGGTAGCATTATGATGAAATACTTCATTGTTCATTTCGGAAGTCTCGTGAAATTTGTTTGGTTTTGTGTTACAACAAAAAAATGTCATCTCCCAGGGTCAGCTGGCTGGCATGCCGACCCATATCTGTCAGTAATGACTATTAAAGCTCGTCCTTCATAGCTTACTTAGGAGAGTAGAGAGAAGAAAGAGGAAAGCCGACTAGCAGAATGTAGACAGTGTGCAGAAGAGTAGAGTCAAACATTTTTGGTTGAAGAAGTGAGAATCAAAGTGTAAGAGCCGTAGAGATGAACAAAAGAGTTACACAGAATGAAATAAGCTTGAATGTTAATAGAATTGTGTACTAGATACAGAGAACCGAGTAGTCAAAGCGCCTATGACAATAATCCTTTCTTTTTTGCGTAAATATTTAGCTTATCATGGGCACAAACCAATTACAATAGACAAAAGACAATTAAAGAAACTTAAAACTCGGTTTTTTCGGGCCCTGAAGTGCTCTTATTTTGTCTTAAAAGTGTCTCATGCACCGGTAACGAATTAGCGGGTGATGACGTGGAAAACTGTGAAAACTCTCAATTGACACCTACAAATCTCTCACATCTCTCTTTTTGTATCAGTCGGAGTTGAAATACTCTTTAAATAATGTCCATAGCGATGCATAGCTACATTCAAAAAGCCCTACCGAAAGTTGTGATACATCGTACTCAAGTAGTAGAGAAGAAATGGAAGCTGCGAGTACGGTTCAGCCCTACGAAGGAGAACCGCGCGCATCAAACGAATATTTCGACGAAGACTGACAAAAGACGATTTCTCGCCTACGGTGTTCCGGACAAAATTCCCATTACTAAATATTTAGTTTGTTGCGTTTGTGTTTTGTTTTCTTTGGCGAAATCTATGTTAAGAATGGGTATCTGTGTTTGTTTCTGTTGCCATAATATTTTATTCCATCGCACTATGCGCGGCAAAGGTTCCCCTCGGTCAGTAGTCTCGTTGCTGTAGAGAAACTCCTTTAGTAAACCAAAAGCTAACTTTTGACGAATGAATCAGCCGTATCACGAGACACGGTAATTTTTCACCGAGAAGTCATCGAGCAGTTTCACTGCAAGTTGCTTCTTTCTTCAGAGATTGCAAAGGCAGAGGCTATCTTCGCGATTGTCGAGCCGGCCAAACCGAGCGGAAAACGAGTGATTTTATGGTCATCGGATTCAATTTAATCTCAAATGGGGATTTTAATAGAGAAAAAACTTGTTTAGTTTAAGTGCAGCCTTGCCATAAGACCCACTCCGCTCAAATAAAACTGACATCATTATTGTAAATGATTATTTCGTATGCGGCGACTTTCACAAAGGACTTGGATTCGCTCCCATCTAATTCAATAGATTTGAGTTTTTTATTTGTCTCGTTGCAGTGCTGTTATCGCAATGACCTTGTTATTGTTACCATTTTTAATTTGTTGAGGGCAGGGGGAATTGATAGCTCGTAGGATGGATTTTCGGAAATCTAGGTTAGAATAATACACGGCCCCTTGGAGCTTGTGTTTATGCCAGTATCCGCCAGAGGTTTTGCGCTGTTCGCACGACAGGATATCGGTCAGGAAAGGGCTTGAACTTCACTACAAATGATGCATACTGTTATCAATTGGTA